TGGGAACAAGACAAGCGTATCTATTCTCACCACTCTTATCCAATAGAGTACTAGAAATTTTAGCCAGAGTAATTAGGCAAGAGAAAGAAACAAAAGGCACACACATAGGATTGGAGGAAGTAAAATTATCCCTGTTTGCAGATGATATGAATTTACATATAGAAAAGTCTAAAGACTACACCAAAAGACTTCTAAATATTGATAAATGAACTCAATAAAGTAACAGGATACAGAAGCGACACACAAAAACAGGTTGCTTTTCTACATGCCAATGATGACTGCTGAGAAAGAAAGCAATTCCTTTTGGAATAGCCATTCACACTTAAAAAGAAATAAAAAAGTAGGGATGATCCTACAGATATAAGAGATCTCCAACATGAAAATTACAAAACACTGAAGAAAGAAATTGAGGAGACACTGAAAGGTGGAAAGACCTCCCATGTTCATAGAACACTGTTTTGATGTTGTTGAAATTTCCATTCTACTCAAAGTGATCTACAGAGTCAAGCAATCCCCATCAAGACACCAATGACCTTCTTCACAGGAAAAAAAAAATCCCAAAATTTGTATGGAAGTACTAAAAATCTCACATAGGCAAAGCAATTTTGAACAAAAAGAGCAAAGCTGGAGGCATTATAATACCTGATGCTAAGACACAACATAGAGCCAGAGTAGTAAAAACAGCATGGTATTGGCATAAAGACACGTAGACCAATGGAACAGAATCCAGAATCCAGAAGTAAGCCCACTGTCTACAGTCAACTGATTCCCACTAAAAGGGCCAAAAACATGCCTTAAAGAAATGACAGCCTCTTCGCCGAATAATGCTGGAGAAATTGGATATCCACATGCGGAAGATCTAAACTTGACCCCCATCTCACCCCTATAAAACAACAATCAACTCAAAATAGATCAAAGACCTTAATGTAAGACCTGAAACTACTAGAGGAAAACATAGTGGGGAACACTTTTAAGATACTGGTAGAAGCAAGCATTTTCTGGTTAGGGTCCCAAAAGCACAAGAAAAAACAGCAAGAATTGAGAATGGCGGTATACACTTACCAGCTACTCATCAGCAGTGGATTAATAGCCAGAAAGAACTCAAAACACATAACAACAAAAAAAAGATTCAAAATGGGCAAATAAATTGAATAAACACTTCTCAAAAGAAATACAACTGGCCAATAAATATATGGAAAAAAATTTCAAAATCATCAGCCATCAGGGAAATCAAAATCAAAATCGTGAAGTTCCACCTCACACCAATTGGAATGGCTTTTGCAAAAAAATATATAAAAAATTCTGAAGAGGATGTGGAGAAAAAAGAGCCCATGTACACTCCTGGTGGGAATATAAAGTAGCACAGTACGGAGGATTTTCAAAAACCTGAAAGAATGACCATACGATCCAACTATCCCATTCCTGGGTATATATATCCAAAAGAAATGAAATCAGCCTACAAAAGAGATACCTGATGCCCATGTTTACTGTAGCACCTTTCACAATAGCTAGGATATGGAATCAATGCCTATCAGCAAGTGAATGAATATGGTAATAATGGAATAAAACTCTGCCATTTGCAGCAAAATGAATGGAGGTACCAAGGACACCATGTTAAGTGAAACAAGGTAGACACCAACACAGGCATATCAGGTTCTCTTGCATATATGTGGAAACTAAAAAGAAAAGGATCTAAAAGTAGAAGAGGGACTGGCAGATCAGTGTGGAAGAAGGGTGGACCCATGGACGCAAGTATGGAAATATCACAGTGAATCCCATGAATTTGTACAATATACCTTAATAATTAAATAAAAAAAGAAATAGATATAGTGGCAGATTAATAAAAAAGAAAATAAATAGCCAGAAGTTCCTTCATCAGACATTGTATTTTTTTATTCTAATTCAAAGATGTTACCTATAATTCTCCGAGCATATTGCTGGTGATGGCAGACGGGGAAGGAGGGCAGTTAATCTGCACTATGTCCATTCAGAACTTGGAAATAATGGAAAATTCTCAAGCATGTTTGTTCACAGAGATCAAATCTCCGGCGATCACAGTGAAAGGCCCACATGTTCTGGCCCACCTGCTCACCTGGCTATGTGTGATATGGATTGGAAGCACCCTGAGGACAGAACCATTCTCATTCACCTACTCATACTTTCCTGGAAACCTTATTTACATCTCAGTAAATCCTTTCATTGATGATGCCCAGATGTCCTTCAATTTATTTATTTTTTATTTTTTTTATTCTTTTTTTTATTGGTTGTTCACAACATTACAAAGCTCTTGACATATCATATTTCATACATTAGATTGAAGTGG